ACCTTGCAAGGGACAGTGTGGGGCTTGCCGATCTTGTTCCCCCAGTAGCCTCGCCGCACAGGGACGATGGAGAGCTTGGCCAGGATGATGGCCCCGCGGATGGCAGTGGCTACCTCCTTGGAGCACTTAACACCCAGACCCACGTGTCCATTGTAGTCCCCAATGGCGACAAATGCCTTGAACCGGGTCCTCCAGCCAGCACGGGTCTGCTTTTGCACTGGCATTATTTTCAAAACTTCATCCTTCAGGGATGCCCCCAGGAAAAAATCAATGATCTCAGATTCCTTGATGGGCAGGGAGAAGAGATAGATCTCCTCTAGGGATTTGATCTTCTTGTCCTTGACCAGGCGGCCCAGCTTGGTGACGGGGATCCACTCTTTGTCCTCGGCTTTGCCTCGGCGAGCTCCGCGGCCTCCACCCCGGCCGCGACCCCGACCACGACCTCGGCCCCGGATGCCACTGCCGAATCCTCCACGGAAGCCGCCGCGGCTTCCCACTCCAGGGCCCCCGGGGCCTCCGGGCCCTCCAGCAGCACCGGCGTCATCCGCCATTTGGTGTTGTATTGAAGAAGCCCATTGTCCATTTTATAAGTTTAAGAAAGCATTCCTGAGTAGGCCAATTATATCTTTCTATTGGAAGCTCCACGTGATGCTTTGTTTCTACAACCCATGCCTAGACTGAATTAACAGTAAAATGTGTACTCTGGTCAGAGTCAGTGTTATCTAGAAGCCCAAAGGGAACTAGCATTTAGTGAGGCGTGTAATAGTGGTGCTGGCAGTATCATGGCAGGAAGGATAAACCAATAGCAGACCTATATAACAATCAGTCTTGGTGAGGGCAAAGCAGTTTGCACCAGCAGATTGGAGCAGTGGTTCTATAAAATGAATCTACCAGTTAGAGAAAGGGTGTTCACCCCTTTGTATGCATTCCTGTTGGACATGATGTCAGTGGCAAGACAGATTGCAAAGATTATGTTGAGTTTGGGCTAGGGCTGGTGGCATGGGGGTGCCATGGCATTTATCCCTAATTTTAAGGGTGCGGGACTGCGATGACTAGAGATCTCATTGACCTATTGAGCTAAGCGCACGGAGTAATATTTGAAAAGTGTGAGCAAATTAATTGGCTGTGACATAAAAATGAACTTCCTCTGTGGTGGCCTTGGCATGAATTGAGACATTAGACTTTAATTGTAGTATGCCAAGTCTGAGCAGCAATATATTCCCAATGTGGAAGGCTTCATAGGACATGATCCTGAATATGGAAACTGTTTTGAGCCCATAGACCAGAAAAAAAGCAATGAGGCCATTAGCTACCACCCTGGAGTCTATAAAAATATGAACAATAGACAGAGTTTTATTGGGGCATCCTAAGATATGTCCCTATGCTTTTGTGTCCTATTCCAGGTACCCTAAGTAGTCTTGAAAATCAAGGTCACTTGGTTAGGCAAATTACCGTCAAGATAAAAGCCTGAGGCTCTGAATTCCCACTTTGACTTAGTTTGGACCTTTAACTATACTTTGTATGTCCTTCACATTTTAAAAGATATTTTCAGCAGAATGTTTTATTACAGTACTGTGCTTTTTTATCTTAAAGGAGGAACTTGACATTTTTGTGATCTGTGCTGTTTTTAATTTTCCTAAATTCTTGTGTTTTATGTTAATGTTTTTTCGTATTCTGAATCTTACATTAATTTTCTTACTCCTTTTTTTTGTAATGGTTATCCTTATACCATTTTATTGACATCTAAATTTCTAAAATTTCTTACTGTCTTCTGCCAAACTGGACAAAGTAAGTCTTTCAGCGTGCAATTACTTCATTTCTTTCTCACCATTATCTTTCTTTTATTTTTTTAGTAACCCTTGACTTTCCCTCTCTGCTTTATTATTTAATTTTGTTAGACTACATCTTTGGGTAATTCTTAAAGTGTTAGGCTTCCTTTTCTTTCAGAATTTTGTGAAAGTTTCTCAAGACCTTTGTCTTCTAATGTTATTATATATTGTAGATAACCGTGATATTAAACTGGTTCTTGTTCCTTTGTAGGTAGCTTCATTTTCTCTTTATCCTTGGAGCTCATAAATCTCACCAGGATGTTTTTAGTTATTCTTCTCAGTGTTCCTCATAACACTTGGTTAATTATGCTCTTTTTAAAATCTGAACATTTTTTCCTGCTTCAGAAAAATTTCTTTGGTTCTTTTTAACTCACGTGTTCTTTCCCAGAAACCTTATTGTATAGCTGACAAGCCTACTGTATTGGGCTCATGTCACTTACTTTCTGAGAGACTTTCTCTGTGTAGTCTTTCAAGATGCCTATTGGATCATCAAACTCTTTTGTATAAACATTTTTAAGAGACCCTTTGTCTTAACAAATTATTTCTGCTTTATGGATTTTGTCAATTCTAGAATTTGATTTTAACCAATTTTTTTAAGAGTTTATATTTTATTGCTTAGCTCTTAGTAATCAGTTGCTTGGTTCCACCTGTAGATGATTGGTTTTGTGCATGTTTCCTTTATAAATTCTAATTCTTGGTCATCTGTTAATTTTAAAAGAGGGTTTAAATTGTTCTTTTGCACACGGTAGCATTACAGCTTAGCATTAGAGTTAGACCTCTGTTAAGTAAGAGATTTGATGTATTTGTAACCTCTAGTAGAACACTAATTTTAGTGTATGAATACTCAATTTTAGTAACCCCTTAGAATTCAGACATTTGTACAAATGAAAGTCTATGGAAGGGTCTGTCATATACTGGTAGGAACCCAAAAATAGGACTTAAATTTTCCACAGATTTATAGCCCATCAGAAATCCCCAAAGCCTTTGACAACTGTTGGTCCCCAATAATTGTCATACATCTGCCATTTCAATGTGTTTGGAATAGATGAGGGGTGCTCTATTCACTCTCTTGAACTGAAAATCCTTTGGTTTCTTTTAGATCTCAGACATCAGTGTTATGAGTTTGTTTTATACATGGTTTGTGCATATATATATATATATATGTGTGTGTGTACCTTCTTTGTCACATTTTAATATCAAAACTTTTTAAAAATCTCATAAAATGAGTTGGAAAGCCTGTCATAATTGCTCCTAGAAGGTTTAATAACACTTGCATCTAAAACTGTTGGGTGATGACTTCCTGCTACCTACTGTTTTTTACTTTTAAAAATTTTTGTGGTTATTGGTCTAACCTGCTTTGTTATCATTTCTTGAGAGTGGATTTTTATGATGTTTCTTACAAAAGCATTTCATTTCACTTGTTAACATACAGTTTGTAAAATAATTTAAATCTCCTATTATCATCACTGATATATATTATTCTCTTTTATTCATTAGATTTCCCACAATTTTAAGCTTTCTTAGTCTTTTCAGAGGGCTAGTTATTGGTTTTAATTATTCTTGCTTTTTTCTTAGTTTCCCTAAGTTCTACTTTTTTCTGTTAATTCTAGCTTCTCTTTTGGTTACTTTTTAATGAATGTGTTAATGCTGTGCTATTTCCTCATGAGTAGAGTTTTTGCCATGTTCTAGAACAGCGGTTCTCAACCTGTGGGTTGCAACTCCTTTGGGGGTCGAACGACCCTCTCACAGGGGTTGCCAGGTACTCGTATGTGGGCGTATCTGCATGTGGGCCTGGAGACGGATAGAGGAGCAGTGTCTCGGTTCCTAAGACCATCGAAAATATGTGTTTTCCGGTGGTCTTAGGCGTCCCCTGTGAAAGGTTGAGAACTGCTGTTCTAAAAGCATTGATAGTAGTATTTACGGCACATTTCTAATTTGTCAAAAATGGTCAGATTAATACCCAAGGACTCCTAATAATGTTGATGATATTTTTAAATTGTTGAAAAGGCTTTTTAAGAATACGTTTTGTCCATTATCATCAGTTAAGTTTATGTTCACTGTAACCCAGCAAACCACCCCCGCTTCATCTTAGATTTTTTTTTCTGGGTAAGCTGACAAAAAAGGATGTGTGTTTAGGCTTATCAATTCTCACAATTGTGGACTGGTTTTTTTATATATGGTGGTACATGTATTTAGTGGAATGGTATGCAGCCATTCTAATCAAATGAGTTGTAGTGACAGGGAAAGATAAAGGAGATTTTATGGTATATATTACAATTGGGAAAAAACAAGTTATATAACAATATAACCTCATTTGTATAAAAATATGCCTATAAAATCCTGATTTTTCGTTTTTTATTTATACATTTTTAAATAAAATTACATATTTAGAGTGGGCAACATGATCTGATATACATAGTGAAATGATTTCTATAGTGAAGGTAATTAACATGTCTCCTCACATACTTACCTTTTTTTATGTGATGAGAGCACCTGATATCTAATCTCTTATTGTATTTCCAGTATTCAGTACAGTACTAACTACAGTTGTCATGCATCTACATTACTTATAAAAATCTTGAGGGGTAGTCACTAAATTCTTAATGATTAATCTGATGAGCATTATTGGGAACTTTTCATGGTAAGCACAAGTGTTTAAATAATTGTACATTTAGTATGTTTGGGGTTGTTTTTTTAAGCCTTTGGAGTTTTGCTTTTTATATACTTATGAAGAATCTCAGTTTTTCATATTACTCTCTCTCCTTCTCTCTCTCTTTTAGCTACTGAAGTGGTGACTGTGTTTGTATTTCAAGAACCGTCACTGCTCTCCTCACTCCAGGATAATGGATTGACAGATGTCATGCTGCATGCACTGCTTATCAAAGATGTGAGTCCTTTCTGCTGCTCTGTAAAGAATGTTCCATGTATACCCCTCCCTGCAAAATCTCTCTTCTCTTCTCTTCTCTCTCTCTCCCTCCCTACCTCCCTCCTTCTTTCTCCCTCTCCCTTCTCGCCCCCCCCCAACCGGTCTCAGCAGTCTTATGGCATTCAAATTTTCAAATTGTATCTCTTGTCTTCTGTTTATAGTATTGAAACTAACTAGAGCCTGGTTGTTCAAGGGCCTGCCTATGTGTGATACCCTTGGCCAAAGTTTCTTAGCATGTACACCTGAATTCTTTTAGATGTCTTCAAACTCACTTTATCTTCTCTCCAGGTTCCTGCTACCCGTGAAGTCCTTGGTTCCCTCCCAAATGTATTCAGTGCACTCTGCTTGAATGCACGAGGTCTCCAGTCATTTGTACAGTGTCAGCCTTTTGAACGTCTCTTCAAAGTTCTTCTGTCTCCAGATTACCTCCCAGCCATGCGGAGGAGGAGGAGTTCTGATCCCCTTGGTAAATCACCAGGATTTATCTTAAAATAAATAATTGGTTTGCTATTGTGTCAAGATTTTAGATGATTAACAAGTCAACTGATTGGCAAGGAAACCCTTCCTTGACCTCACATCATTTCTCTGGCTAGGTACACTAAGCTTAATGGGAATTTTCACCATACATTGACTTGCAGGTAAAAAAGAATACTTCATCCTTAGCCTCTACTCATAGTATTTCCATACTTCTCAACAGTTCACTGTTAAATGTACTGTCATGGTGCTGGTGAGAAATGAGTTTTAGAGGATAGCAGATTTCTAGGTCCACCATCTAGTCTACAGCAAGAGAAGATATGAAGTCCCAAGGTGTTG